TAAGTTCATTTAGTCCCCTGGTCAGCCATATAACTAACTGTTCCTAACCATCTACTAATTAAAAGAGGGGCAAGATGACGAGAGGGTACTGGAGAAAATTTTTCCAGGGTTCTGAAACACTGTGACAGCTCCTGTTCTTTGAAGAATAAATGTAATCTGTGTCTTTTCTCTAGAAAGTATAAATCTGTACTTGGGAGCCCGATAATTTTATTATTGAACTAACCTTGCATTCCTGTAGTATACCCAACTTTGTATGACGTATAGATTACCAGACCTCTTTTGGAAACCTTTGAGGTTGAAGTGTTCCAGAATGCAGATATTTTTTCACTGATACAGTACATATGACATATAACTTGCTATATTGCTGGAGGAGTCAGAGGTGATTCCCCAAAATCAAGAACATTGTTATTTCAGCATTGAAACTTACGAATGTTCAGAGTTAATAGGGTAAATAAAGATAATAAATGGTACCAGGTCTGTTTAGGTCAAGTTTTGCCTACAGATAAGTTACAAAAAAGTGTTCAGTTTCAGAGTGTCTAGTTTTAGGAACTGAAGTCTTGTATGATCTTGTTGAGCCCAATATTTTTAAAAACCAAACTATATATTGTTAAAAAGACCACTGAAATCATCAGTGTTTATTTATACAATATTTGTCTTGTTGAAATGATTTCAAATACCTTGAGAAGAGTAGTAGAACTATTTTCAAAGAGTTCTAAATAGTGTATGAGAAAAGATTCCATGTTCATTTTCAGTTAGATTTTGTATATTGTATCGTAGGATCCTCATAACAAATCCCATATACTAGGTTTTATTACCCTTTTAGTTTTTCACATGAGGAAATTGAGTCACAGAGATCAAGTAATTTGCCCTTCGTTACACAGTTAGTATCATAACCAGGATTCTAATTCTAATTCTACCCAGGCATTCTTACTCCAGATTCTATAAAGCTTTGGGAGATGAGAGAGTTGTACAAACCATTACAGACTATTGAGAATAAAACATTAAGAAGATAAATAGAAACTTTTCATTCAAAAATGGCAAGGTAATGATTCCTCAAGAAGAGAAGACATAGGTCACTTGGGCAGTCTTACCATAAGAATTCTGCAGCTGTATTGCCTGGGTACCAGTTTCACCTCCACAACTTATCAGCAGTTTGACCTTAGGCAAGTTTATTAACTTCTGTACACCTCAGTTTTTCTCCTCCGTAAATAAGGATAATAATACTTGTCTTGAATGATAAAATACGATAATACATTTGAAGAAATGAGAATAGCACCTGGCATATAGTAAGCACTCAGTAGGTGTTAGTTATTGCTATTATTTTTGTTGTTAGTAGACAAGTTAGTTACATTGATTTTGGATGATTTGTTTGACTATTGCAAATGTTAAAGGGTACATGGAAAAACAAAGAGATTGCTTTCTAATGCCTGTTAAGGTATCTGCAAAATTGGGGCCACAAGATTTTTGGTTGCTTAGTAAATGGGAGGTATGAATTTGAAATTCAGTGCTTTTAAAGGTAATAAAAATACACTGTGATACTCTGATGTATTAGAGAAAAAGTTAAGTAACTGATGGAAAAGCATTGAGAAAAGCAACTAATTTAGCTCTGATAGTTATAGCAATAGAAATTACTCAGTGGAAGGGAAATAAAACAGTGACAAACTTTATCAAAAAAAAATAAGACCATAAAAAAATGATTATTAAAAATTTTTAAGTCATTTTCAGGTTACTTTTTGCTTAGTTTGTTTTGTTTTGGGAGAACTGTGGTTCAATAGTTATATGTAGAATACTGGAAAGGAATGTTTTTGCCTTTAGCCACATATGGTTTATAAAATGTAAAAGTTTATTTTTCTCTGTCCTAAGTTTATAATAATGAAAAAAAAAATTGGTGATAGCAATTAGTGTAATTTCTTGTGTGTAGACAAATTTTTTAAAGCAATTTTATCCCCTTATTTAAAAATCTCATATTTATTGTCTTTATGTTCATCCTTAAGTGATCTCAGTGTCTTATTTGCTCATAGATTTAAAAATTCTCCTTATAATTTAATTTAATTAGCTAATTCTGTGTCTACTAAAACATAAATAAATGTGAATCATCCTTTTTCAAATAAATGCCCAATCTGAAATGAGTCATCCTGTTATTTTTACCAAGATACCTATGCATGATAGATATAGTTTATATATGAAATTGGTTTAACAGTCTGTCTTCCAATTGCAAAGTATAACTTTGCTTTTGGAGGCAAATAATTTAAAGTGGGAGTCATTTTGTGACATCTAGTTGCATTACTGAATTTCCTTTGTGCCTTGGGTTAACAGCGGTATAGTTTTTGTTTGTAGCTAAGCTTCTCATTGTCACCAGCAAGGACATTAGGAATTATTTTGTCTTATTTTCCAATCTTGATAAAAAATTTATTAGTCCTAAATCAGTTTTAGTTACCATCCTGAAAATTTCTTCTTGCCCTTGCCATTTATTGATGTCCTTATTAAATTTTTACAACTTACTGACATTTTTTTGGAAGACTTGATAATTCTGTTTTATGTTTATAGGTGGTGGTTTTTCTCTTTTCTCCCTAATATATGTCTATGAAGTGGGTTAGGCTAATAGAAGAATTCCCTGCTCTTTAGTTAGTGTACTACTGTGAGGAGAGTTCTGATTTATTAAAATTTTAGAAATTTGAGTTTTTATGACTAATTTTGTGTTATTAATAATAGAAGCTAAAATTTATTGTATGTTTACTATATTTTGGCGTTATACTGAGAACTTTCCATACATTATCTCATTTGAATCTCACACCTCTTTGAAGTGTCATCCACATTTAATAAATGGGAAAGCTAGAGGCAAGATGAGATTAATAACCTGCCCAGAGTCATTTAGCAGCTAAGTAGTGAAATTCAGACCTACTCTTGTTGTCAAGGTCTGTGTTCCTAAGAGTGCCTTTCACAACCATTTAGGTTATTGGAGTACTAATGTAATGAATGATTTTGGGTATTTATAGAGAAAGAACCATTTCAGTCAGTATCCTCAATTGCTTAAATTTCACTAGGGTAGATGATAATGTAAACATGTTTATAGTAGAAATAGAGAAGAAGAATATAAAAAGAGCAATAACTGTTGATTTATCATGTTTGATATGTATGTCATGCTAATTTCAGGTGTTGATAGTTTTTTATAGGCTAATTTATTTTATTCAAAAATGGGAGATAGGATTGATTGGAATGGTAAGATAGAATTAACAGGAAGAAAAGATAGTATGGAGGTCTAGAGCATTTTGCAGGGCTGCATAGGAGAATGCAGAGAGGATGTAACCAAGAAAAAAGAGCCAACACAAGAAGCAGATTATGTTTGACCAGGGCAGCGGAAACTAGTGTATACGTTTTTGGTAAGGAAAAAAAAAAAGTTATTTTACCATTTATTCCATTCCTTTGATAGTTTTCTTTCACATGAGGCTTTATCATATAACATTTTAGAGCTGGAAGGGATGAGGAGACAGTTTGCAGATGAAGAAACTGAGACTAATGATTATAAGGTACTTGTCCAAGGGCATGTGACTTTTTAGTGGCTAAGGGAAATCACTGTAGTTCAATTCCAGTTCCATTCTGTTCAGTTCAGTTCATTTCTGTTCACCTCTGTTCAGACACCAACTGTAAATGTAGTATTTCTTCCTCTGACCATAACCACCAGAGTTAGATCAGACCCTACAGGTTAAAGGGCGCGGTCTTCCAGATTGCCAGGTCTGTCCAAGACCTCAGATGCCAATCGCAAGCTTGGAGATCCTCACAACACCTTCACTTCTGGCCTGCTGGCTACAAATTCAGGGGTCCCTTCTACCTTCTCAAGTTGTTAGCCATAGCTTGGAGGTCCTCAACCCCCCAACCTGCTTACTTCAAATTCAGGGGTTTCCTTTACCACCTCAGGATGCTAGTTGTAAGCTCAGATGTTGCAAAGAGGTCCCACTCACTTCTGACCTGCTGGCTACAAATTTACAGGTTTGCTCTATCCCCTCAGGATGCCATCAATAAGCTGGGGTGGTCCCCAGGCCTACCTCACTTTTTATCTGCCAGCTCCCACTACTCCCCTGGGTTAGATAATTCACTAAAATGACTTAAGAACTCAGGAAAACACTATACTTAACGATTATAGTTTTATTATAGCAAAAAGGATCCAAATGAAGAGACTCTTGGGTGAGGTCTGGGAGGGTTGCTGATGGAGACCTGTTTCTCAAAGAGGGATGTGCTACCCTCCCTGAGCATGGATGTCTTTCATCAACTAAGAAGCCCATGGAGATTCAGTATCTTTTGTTGGAGGTCTCATTATATAGTCATGATTGACTGAATCATTACCCCAAGGGATTGAACTCACCCTTCAGGCCCCTCCCCCCAGTCATGTGATTACTATCACCACATGGATCTTTCTGGCCTGGCCAGCGCCCACCCCAAGAGTCACTTCTTTAGCATATCCTGTTACGTGTTATCTGAAGCTCTCATTGAAGACACTTCAATTACTTGGAAAATCCCAAGGATTTAGAGGTTACCTCTCAGGAATCAAGGACCAATACCATGTTCTTTGGGCAAAGTTAATTATAAACCCCACAGTGACATAGCGGGGCCTGTTAACATAGATTTTGATTACATACTTGCTATTTCCCTAGTACTCTAAGTCCTCTTTTCCTTAAATAACATTCCAAACAGCTTATTAACTTATCTGAAAATGAAATAGAGGCAAATACATCTGTGTATACACCTGCTTTTTGCATATTCCCTGTAGCCATTCTTTCTTGGTTTGTAAGTTTGAGGTGATGGAGTGAAGGGGCAAATTGCTTAAATATTTGCTGATTTTTGTTTAAGAGTTAGGTATTTATTCGATGTCTAATTAAATTATTGTCAGTAAATGTTTTCTTTGCTTAGAAACTAGAAATGTTTGGTTTTTGTATATTTTAGATGTAGCTTTTCTGTTGATAAAATAAACACTAAAATCACATTTTTCTCTCTTTATTTTGCAGTAGCATTATTGATTCCACAGAATACAGCCAACCTCCAGGCTTCAGTGGCAGTTCTCAGGTAAATGATATTTTTAATGGTATATTTTAGTGGACCATAAGTATAATCACCTGAGTTGTAATACAGTGAATTACTTTACTGAAGTGTCCTGTCATAAAGATATCTGTTTCGAATGTTGTGGCATTGATTAGGGCTTGAATAGCTCTGATGCATAATGGCAGAATGCGCTATTTTTTTGCTCATCAATGATAAGAGTCAAAAAAATAATATATTGGCAATATTAGCCGTTGAGAGGAAGAAAATACTTTAAGAGAAGATTATGAATAATCAGAGCATGATTTCTCTTGGTGATATGAAAGCTGCAGTCTGTTAATGAATCACCCATTGAAACATTAAGCTTTTCTGTAGAAAGCTGACTACACACTTGAGTAAAATAGACACTAGCCTCACCTCTCTTTTAATTAATTGCATGATTATTTTGACTTTCCCTCTCTTTATCTATGACTTGGGGGTGCTGATATTTGTCATACTTATTTTTGAGGACTGTCATAAATTTTCTAAAACTTTTTATTTTGAAATAATTTTGAACTCAGAGAAAAGTTACAAGAATAGTAAAAAGTATTCCTTTATATCCTTCACCCAGTTTGTCCAAATGTTCACATTTTATCACATTTGCTTTATCGTTCTCATTCGGTTTCTCTTTTCTACATATGTAACCCGTTGCTGTTGAGTCGATTCCGACTCACAGTGACCCTATAGGACAGAGTAGAGCTGCCTCATAGGGTTTCCAGGAAGTGGCTGGTGGATTTGAACTGTTGACCTTTTGGTTAGTAGCCTGAGCACGTAACCACGGCGCCACCAGGGCTTCTCTACATATATACACATGTAATTTTTTTCTTTGAATTGAGTAAGGCGCAGACATAGTGCCCTTAACGTCTAAATAATGCCCCTAAACCTTTTAAAAACAAGGACAGTATTTCATGTAACTACAATCCAGTTTTAAAATTCAGGAACTTAACATTGATACGGTGATGTTATTTAATCCCTAGATCTTATTCAGATTTTATGAACTGTCCTAATATCCTTTACAGCAAAAGAAAAAAAAAAATGAGACATGTTTAATGCATATTCATTTGTATATTTATGTGAGAAGACATGAAATTTTTTTTTTTATCAAAATGACTAGTAAATCCTTTTGGATGGTATAGTTTTATTTTTCTTTTCCCAATACTTGGATGACTACCACTTAAAGTAAAGCATTTAAAAAGAAAGCTATAGCACAGTAAACCACCTTTAAGGTAAAATAAAGGTTAATTATGCGAATGAATTTAAAACACGAAAGTAGTACACAGGCATGACAGACTGAAGAGGGTAGACTGAGGACACTACTCCTTGTCCCTCTCATTAAGCTTTTGTACCCAAAACAATACCATTTTGAATTCATTCAAACATTGTACACAATTCAGGTTAGTTTCATGATATTCTCTGGTTAAAAACTGTTTTATTGAATCTATTAGTGTATTCTTGCCTAAGGCTATAATGTTGAAGTATTACTTCTAATAGTGTATACTGTTTAGTGTTGTTTTGGAATGAAAGTCAGTATAGTGGAAAAAAAAGAATCATCAACAGGCAGTATAATTTTATAAGACCCGTTAGGATAGAAAGTTGTTAACTCAAAATTCGTTATGTGAGTTAAGTCTATACACTACTCCTCACTTGTTATCTGACATTTCACATGTACAATAGTAAAAAATCTACTATCTGACTATTTTGCACATTAATGACGTACATCCGGCAGTAATGAACGCTGAGGTGCAAAGCGAGACTAACGCTGTGATGGTTAAGGTTATATGTCAACTTGGCTGGGCCATGATTCTCAGTGGTTTGGCAGTTATGTAATGTAATTTGGCTGTTATGTAATGATGTAGTCACTCTGCATTTTGTGATCTGATGTGGTCATCCTCCATTTTCACATAATGCCATTTTCACATGACGACCTGGTCTTTGGAACCTAACCATATTGTTAAGTGAAGAGTGGGTGTAGCTGTAAAAGGACATCAACCGTGAGTAGGATCCATGCAGAATTCTCTAATACCTTTGAGTTCTGAGAAGCAGTCTGAAAAGCACTGTATAAGGCAGCATCTTCATTATGCTGAAACAGCTGAGTAATTGCTGGATGGTAGGTGAAACCAGATGGAATCTGAACCACTTGCAATCTGATTGGGATAGTCTGTGTTAAATATGGAATATGATTATTTGCAGTTATTAAAATCACAGGTTTTTAGAACCTTGTACTTAAATTCACTATGGAACAGGTTTGAAATAAGATTTTCATAAAACTGATAATTTTCAGGACCATTAGTCTAAATTAAACCATGTATGACAAATTATCTACAGTATTCTCAGTACATATATCATTCAAAAGATATTTTAGTTCTTATAGACACTGCTGGGGACTGTTAAATCACCATTTATGCAAATGCTATAATTTGTTCTTTGGTGGAGGTGGACAGTGAAAACATACACCAACTGATTTTTGTGGTCACCTTTTATTAATTTCTTTGTTAAAGATTTACAGTGTTAAAAGAGCACCAAAAGGCTAAAATTTAAGGACAGTTAAATGTATTTGACATCATAACCTTTTAATGCTTATTTAAATAGAGTTGCTGCCTGCAAGTAAGTCTGATAAAGTAGGAGGGCAAAAGAATAAGATGAATTCTGTTTTGTCAATAAGGATTACTTTACATTGTCTAAAAAATTGGGAACTGAGATATTCTATATTGTTACTGTGAACCTAGACAGACCCACGTGTAACATTTGAATAATATTCAGCAATGATAGAGATTTGGCTTTGGAAAATAGTTAAAGCTTTTGTCTTTATATGCATGCATGCATTTGGCCTATTTTTTTTTTTAGTAGTAAATTCATAGATTGATTTTTATCTATTTTTGAACAGTCATGAAAGCACTAACTTCATGTGTATTTTTATAAGACATAGTGGGTGGGATACATCAGGAGAAATTTTAAAGTCTTTAATTGACAGATACCTTAAGAACTTGAGAGAAAAGCAGTCCTATCTGAAAACTGCCTTGACATTCACAACGAGTCCTTGGTGTTCTCCTTTTGAATATAAGCAATCTCACAGAACATCAGCTTCAGACAGGGCCACTCTTTGACCTTGATAATGTGAAATAGAAAACAAGATCACCCTATAAATTTGTCTAAGCACACGCACAAACAAGCCCACTGTGCAAAAATAGCAAACACCTCTCTATCCTGGTTAATATGATTATGTTTCTTTACTTTCTTTATCCTTACTGTAGTCTTCTGTCCTTCTAGATAAGATCTGTTAAGATACCCAGTCATAGAAGTATCCTTGTTTCCTGATAGTATTCAGTCCACAGCAAAGACTCATTTACTTGAATCTTCTTCCAAATCACTTAACATGAGCCTAAATCTCCGAAAGCCATTTCTGACTCTCTTACTGAGACACCTTTCTTACCTATAGTGTGCCGTCTACCTCATTGCAATGAGTGAGCAGTATATAAAATTTGTTGTATTCCTATTGGTCTTTGGCTGGAGGGCATTGACAAACTATAGATAGAAGAAGAAAAGGCTCTCTGTTACCGTTTATTTAACATTGCTTTGCAATCTAGCAAATCGCATGAGGTAGAAAATAATAGAAATTGAATCTAGAGGAAAAATAAAAATCAGAATAAATATCTGTGGTTGTTTTAAAGTTTAGCATTTACTATTATGGAATGAAGGAAACTTCTGGATTGACACAGTACACTAATATACTCCCAACCCCTACCCACATGAAATCCCGTTGATACATTGCTTTGTTATCTTCTCTTGGAAAACTTAGAAGAATTTATCGAAGATAAGAAAATAAGGGAAGCCCTGTCTAATCTGTGACTCATTGTATGCAGAATAAAAGCATGCCTAAGGATTTAAAGGCCTGGTGATCTACTTAAAAAAAATCAGCCTCTAAAACCCTATGGATCACGGTGGTTCTATCCGCAACCGATCATGGGAATGTTGCAGGACTGGGCAGCATTTTATTCAGCTGTGCATGGGGTCACCGTGAGCTGACTGGCAGCTCACAACAGCAACAAGGATTAAATAGTCTGGATCACCCAAAAGAATCTGACTGCAGCATCTGCTAGAGGACACAGTAGTTGTTGAGGAGAAAATCCTACTAGTATTTTTATGGGGTGGAACTGATATTGACATATTGAACTGAAGGGCTTACCCTTCCTGGCTATACTCTTTAGAACAGGCAGGCCTAGAACGAACCGACATATGAAGGATTGAAAATAGAGGAATAGTTGAGGATAAGCCCCACAAATGTAAGCCAAATAGCAAAAATCCCAAACAAAACAAAAACTCCAAAAGCTCAGATCAAAATAGAATAAAACGTAAAAGCGTAAAATTTTTCGTGTAGATAAAATGCACACCTCCAAAAGCATTAATAATTTTATATGCCATATTATAAGGCATTGGTGTTTATATAAAGTAAAACTGTTAAGAATAAAGAAAAAAATCGATGAAAACTTAATCATGGTGGAAGATTTTCAAGTGTAGCTCGAGAAATAAAGTAGTTAATAGTAGTAGTTAGGTAAAATTTATTTTGTGCTTATTATTCATAGACACTGTTCTAAGTGCTTTACATGTATTAACTACTTTAAATTTCAAAATTACCCTGTGAGTTAAGAACTATTATTATTTTATTTTATTGAAGAAGAAACTGGGGCATAGAAAAGGAAGTTGCCCAAAGAAGCAGCTAGTAAGAGGGAGGAGCTAGGATTTTAACTCAGGAATTAATGGCTTCAGAGCCTGTACTTTTAAATACTCATTCACTCAAACTACAGAGTTTTTAAAGTATCTTCCATTTACTAGGCACTGTTACAAGTTCTGGGGATACATCATTGAACAAAAGTTTAGCAGACAAAAATTTCTGCTTGTAACCAAGCTTCCAAACTGGCTGGAGAGATACTAATAGTAAACAAAATAAGATGACTTTTGAACAAAGAGGAAGTAAGGGAGCAAGCCATAGG